TGAGATAAAAATAGCTCAAGGGCCCAAACCTTCCCATGGGCTCATTATTTCACCACCGCATGGCACGGTATTTGCTTTTCCTCTGTGCTATTTAAAATGGGAAGCTATGAATTAAATCGCATACAGAAAGGGAACCATTCCTTTCAAAGCACCTGCTCAGCTACTCTCAGGGCAACAAGCAGCCAGTGGCGGGGCAGCCAGGGAAGGCCATTGTGGAAGACAACTTTGAAAGCAGGCCCGCTTTCCGAGAGAGCCAAGGAGGCATACCCGAACTGCAGCTCATCCAGTTGGGACAAGTACTATCTTGAAACACCTCAGTCCTTTATTCCCCCTGCTTTGGGCAGCTCCAGCATGAAGACTAATTATAACGCTGACAGAAGACAGCTCCAGGGGCAACCTTACGCTTCAACATAACTCAGCACGAAGGCACTTCCGGTGAACATTTAAAAACCCTCCTACACTTACGGGTCTCAATAACCACAGAGAATCTGAAACCCGCGCACATGTTGGATTCTGCTAAAGGTAAAACCACATCTGATCATCAATTTACCCTCAATTTGTTCCTTCTGAAAGATTCAACTACAGTCCAAAATTCCAGTACACCCAATACAACATTTAGGTATTTAAGTAGCAATGGAAACAAACAGTAAAAAAAAAGTTTGCTTCTTAAAAAACCGGCCACTCCAAAGTGGAAAATACAAATTCCTCTCACTTGGGGTTTTGAGACACATACAGCTGACATTTTAAAAGACAGTCATTTTTAAGCACTAAACCTTGCCTTCAACTGTCCACGCACTGGTAGTTTAGGACACTGGAGAGTCACAGGGGGAAAGCTCAGTATGCATCAAGACTGACTTCTGCAAATGAAGAGCCAGACACCATCAGTTCATTTCACACGAGCGTGTGAGCAGAACTGCTCATGAGTACTTAAAATAACACGGCCTCTTTCTTTCCCTTCTTACTGATAACAAGTCCCAAAGTTAGCCTCATCTTGTCACATTTATTACACACAGCAACTATTGTTCAACTTTTCAGGAAGCGTCACTTCTGCGATGAACTGACCATTTGAAAATGCAAACAACCGTTTAAAGAACTCAAACTCTTGATGATGGAGAGTTAGACGGCGGTGTGTCTCATTCTCCAGGTATTCGGAAGGGAAAGACATGGCAGCGAGTCTAAAATGGTTTGCCATATTAGGGGTACTTTCTTGGCCAGAGGCCCCGGGGCAGGGTTGGGGGAGGCGATGAGAGGGCTGTGAGAGCTCAGCCATCAGTGGCCTGTGCGACTTGTCAGCGAACACCAGGCCTCGCTGGTGTCTAAGGACAGGCTGCAGATTAAGCAGGACTTTCAAGATACTCAGATGGAGACAGTCACCTGCAAAAGTGCTCTTGTGTAAAACTAACCTAGGAATGCAGGCACGTAGGCCACTGCTGCCGGGCTCTCAGGACGTGTCTGTGTCGGTCAAAGAAAGGCCAGAAAGCGGGCATCCCAGTGCCTGCGCGTGGCACCCAAGCACAAGTTTTATAGAATTCTGAATATAGTTACCCCTTTAACAAACTGTATGGCTTTGACAGAATAAAAACACACTGCAAATGAGGCACAGCAATTGCCCTCGGGCAGGATAATGTGCGGTACCCAATCCGTGATATGAAGCGCAAATCCACCACATCGTCCCAACACACAGGCACCACTCACGCGGGGGGGTGCACACCCCACCCTCCAGAGCTTTCCCCGCTGAGTAAAACTTAGCAATACCCACTTCGAGGCAAAAGACCCTCTCAGAGGTACTAGCATGCTCTACTGAATTTTGGCATATTTGATTCTTGAGCTCTTTCTATCAGTTCTACTGACAGAAAATTCAACCCCTCTCCACCAGCCGGCCAAGCAGCCAGGCAGCGGAGTCGGCCACACCGGAAAGCCTGCTGCTGAATAATGAAAAGTGCCAGCAGGCCCAGGGACAATCTCACCGGGGTTTCACATTCAGACTGAAGAGAGAGTGTCTGCCACACTCAGGCTTCCTGGCCACAGTGGCACCCACTCCCTCTTTGTCTCCAGATGCTGAAGCACAGGAGATGGTCCCGACCGATGTAAGCTTCATTCTCTAGAACTGTAATTTGGACCATTCACTGTGCCACAACACTGTTCGCTATCCATACTCTCACAACAGCTAACACCGAATGCAGTCAGGAACTGGATTCCTGTCGCGTGATCAAAATCCCACAGATCCCGGGCACTTGGCAGGCCCTGAGAGCTGAATGAAGCTGACAGCAGTACCCGGAATAGCTGGCAGGACTATCTTCACTTCCCTCAAACTAGAGAAGAAGCAGTAAAACGGTGACCTCACTGCAATGGAAAGACAAAGACAAATTGGAGTTCTGCCAAATGCCCTCATCTTCCTGTCACAGAAGGCGACAGTGTCAGTGAACAAAGCCCTAGAACTTAAATGCCATTATAGCTTTTACCCCTTACATGAAGCACTGGGATGCAAAAACATGCCTGTGCAGCTTTGACCACAGTGAGCATTCAACAACGTGATTTTTTTCACTCAAAGTTGCTTGAGTTGATGAGACGGCCATTCAAGGCCGTCCGTCCTGCTGTCTGCAGTGTGTCCCACCCTACCATGAGGCAGCACCTTGCCCTCGGTGACTGACAGCTGGGGTTGGATCAACCTCGGTCGTGGGTGTCTGTCCTGTGTGCTGCAGGGCTCAGCAGCCGCCCCAGCCACTCCTCTGATGCCCAGAGTGCACCAGCCCCCTCATCTCTGGCAAATACCTCCAGACGATGCTAAATGTCCTTTGCAGCGACAAACATCTCCCCTGGCGACTTCAGCTTATTCCAGTGCAAACTAGCTAAACAGCAAAAGCAGACAGATTTATGTACCCTTATTATTTCCACGGACATTTTTCCTCAAAGGAATAAATTGAATTTCTATGAATAGCAATAGCAAAAGCCCAATTTGTTTTATATATCAAGTGAACTGTTAAATTTCAATATATAATTTAGAATCAAGTTTTTAAATTTGAGAAGTTTAATATTCTGATTTTTTTTTTTTTTTGAAATTTGTATCTGAAAGGCAGAGTGACAGAATGATGGAGAGATAAGATCTTCCATTTTCTCCTTCACTCCCCACATGGCTATGATGGCTGGAGGTGGACCACGCTGAAGCTGGAAGATTCTTCTGCATCTTCCACGTGGGTACAGTGTCCTAAGGACTCGGGCCCTCCTCTGCTGCTTTCCGCATTAGCAGGGAGTGGATCATAGCGGAGCAGCTGGGACTAACTGGTGCCCACACAGGATGCTGGAGCCAGGGCGGGAGCTTCACCTGCTACACCACAGCACCTGTCCCTAATGTCATGATTTTTAACTTCCTAATTAGGTGAGAAAAATAATCCCTGTCTGCAGCCAGGGCTGAATCTGAGAAAGGCATTTCTATTTACTTCAAAAGATCTACCCCCTGCAGATGTCAGAGGTGGTGAGGAAGGAGGAGATGTAAAAGCCCAGGTGTGGGTATCTGCTGCCTCTGGGCTGCTGGACTCCACGAGGACCTGACACTGAGTCACCTCGGAAGCCCTTCTGGCCTCATCTTCTTCCTGTCTGCTAGGGTCTCAGTCAACAGACCCAGCAACAATTTTCACACAGAACTGTCTTTGGGCCTGGCAGAATTGCTCAATGGCAAAATTCTCATCTTGCAACCTGTAAGATGCCATATGGGCACTGGTTTGTGTCCTGACTGCCCCACTTCCCATCCAGCTCCCTGCCTGTGCCTGGGAAAGCAATAGAGGACAGCCCAAAGCCTTGGGACGCTGGACCCGTATGGGAGACCCGGAAGAAGCTTTGGATCAACTCAGCTCTGGCCATTGCGGCCATCTGGGGAATGAACCAGTGGATGAAAGATCCCTCTCTGTAGATCTGCCTTTCCAATAGAAGTGAATACATTTTTTGTTTGTTTTTAAAAGAACTCCCTTTGTTTTTACTGTTTTTTTTTCTTGTGGTTTTCATGCTATTTTTTTTTAAATGATTGCTTATTTTGGAGATGGGCCTGAAAGAGAAACATAGCTATGATTTAATTTTACCAAATTCTCCAAAGAGTATTACACATTTGGCACAGCAATTAAGATGCTCAAATCTCATGGCACTGAGTTCCAGTTGCATCCAGCTAACGTGCACCCTGGGAGGCAGCAGCTGATGGCTCAAGAACTTGGGTTCCTGCCAGCCATGTGGGAGATGCACTGAGTTCCTGGCTCCTGGCTCCACTCTGGCCTGGCCCTGTGTCAGATGTGTGGAAACTACACTACCGAATGACACTGCTTCTTTGTATCCCTCTGCCTTTCAAGTAAAAGAAAGTAAAAACTTTTCCATGTTTTCCAAGGCTGTAAAGGGGGCACATATCAATCTTTAAATACATAAAGCTACAAATCCACTCAGACTTGATAGAAAACAGATAATGGCTGTTATTGTTATATTTGGACTTGTAGATAACAGATACACAGCCTTAGAGAAAATGAGACTTTGGAAACAAGCATTACTTACATAAACTTTCCATATTCTTTTCTTAATTCCTCCTTAAGAACAAATAGAAGCCAAAACCATTGGGTTCATTTTTCAAGTTCCCCTAGAGACAAACTTGCAGTCCCCCTAGGGGCAACAACTATCAAGCTTTCTGGAACTCAAGTCCACTAAGGCTTATAGGTAGATCTGAACATTATCTACATGTTATATTGTCTTTTCTCACTTCCTGAATAACTGTTAATGCATTTACCACACTCTACATAAAGACAGTCCAATTAAAAGCAAGCTGATCAAACTGCTTCTCCTCCTGCATCTATGGGGCAAAAGGTGTGTGTGTAGGTGGACACACACACACACCAATAGCAGCCAGACTTCCAGCAGCAGCTGCGTCTCATGGATCTTCTAGGCGCAAGACAGTGCAACGGTGGGTGGGAAGAGGAGCCCCTGCAAGGGAGGACAACCCAGCAGACATGAGGACTGCAGACACATACCGTCAAAACTGCCCTGCTCGGCAGCACAGCGTAACAGCTGATTGTAGGTTTCCACCGAAGGCTGATACACAAAGACTCCCGAGTTGAAGCAGTCAGGCCACCCTGGGTCTGGGGCCGCCGACAGTTCTTCTCTTTCAAAAAGATCATCAATATTTTTGAGGACCTGATTCAAAGGGGGAGGAAAAACAATTACAGAAAGGTTTTGAGGGAGGCCTTCCCTTCTGAAGTGCTTGCCGTGACAGCTAAGGCAGCCCAGGCCTCCCTGTCTGCCATCAGCGGTCACCTTTCAGAGTGGAGGTCTTATCTGACCCCTCCTCTCAAGCTGTGACGGCATTGCCGAGATGCCAGGAGGCCTCTGTAGCTGTATGCAGGAATCCGTGCACCCCCTCGAGCCCCACTCACCAGTGTATCTGCATCCATGAACACGCATTTGGAATACTGGGTGAGGGACCAGCAGTGCAGTTTGGTCAGCGTGATGCCCAACTCAGGCCTCTTCATCAAGGTGAGATGAGCGGAGTCGCCGCTGTCCAGGATGTCTACGGTGATGACTTCATCAAAGACTACCTCCAAAGCCTTTCTGTCGAGACAAAACCCAGACGGCGGCACTGAGTTGGCGCCTTCTCGGAACCCGGGAGCCTCCCCCCGTCACTCAGAACAAGCTGCTTCCTTGGCAGGACACACCCCTTGAAATCAGACTGCATTCACTCGAGGGCAAGCTGTGTTCAACTGCATGTGCAGTTACTGTTCCCTGTTTAATGCCTGATCATGGCAGGGCTGAAATGCTTTGCATTCAAAACCATTATTGTGGATATTTTCTGAACTCTTCCAAAAAAATCCTAGCCCTGAACTCTAGGTGGATTGTGGAAACAGCTTAAAAATGTGACCAACATCTGGTCAGAGCTTATCTTTGCAGCAGCCTCTGCGTTTCATGATGACACAGTATTGATTCTTGTAGCTGGCTGTGTATCTTTATAAAAGATGCTGAGTGGTATGCGCAGGCTACGTGCCATGAAGCCTTTAGCCAATCACAGCTGCTCAAGCAAGTGACAGGGAATCACCCCGCCCTCCGTGCCAGCCTGCAAAGAAGTCACGGGGCTCGGTTACTAGGTCATCAGTTTTTGGACTCCAATCTAGCCTGCGTTTACGATGTGCCTAGCATTCTGCTGGGACACAGGATTCTCGTTTGGTTTGTGAGATGCAATTCTCCATGTCCCTAGTTGGAGCAGCTTTACTTTGAAAAGCTCTTCAGGTGGTTAGCGGGGCAGGCAGAGGTTAAGAAACTAAACTGAGTACAAGAAAAACATAGGATAAAATCACCATCCTCGCTGGGGTTTATAATTCTGTTAGAGATGCAGAACAAACTCCATAGCTATTCCAGAGCATTCTCTGGTCCACACTGCAAACTCAGTCTGAAAAGAAATGTTCTGGGGCAAATCATACATGGCCGGTGGAGGAGCGGAATCCAAGACCAGATCTCATCTCTGCCCGCATCCTCACTACAAGCCTACACGTCAGGACACACACATTTGGCATCTTCCTAAACTGCCACCTAGGGACAAGGTTGCTCCTGAGAGATCCACATACGTATGTGTATGTATATATGCACACACATAGATAGATACATAATGCCAACTTTTCAGAAACCCTCGGCTTGTGCTTAAATAAAAAGCCAAAGAGGGCGTTTTCAATTTCTAAGAGGGTTAGAAGCCCAGGTAAACAAACCCCACAAAGCTGCCAGTGTGCCTGGGTTGTTGTTGTTGTTTTTTTTTTAGTGTTAGGAAGTAGATATGGTTCATTCTGATATTTCAAAATCAAATTCCAACAAATGAAAATGTACTACACAACAAGTCGCTTGTGCCCCTCAGGGTTTCCCTAGCAAAACCCCTTATTCAGAAAGCCCTGGAAAGATTTTAGTGTGTTATGTTGAACTACAGATCCTTAGGTTACAACGTCAACTGGCAACAAAGGGCAACTTTTCCAAAGCTACCAGAGGGTTTCCGAAGATTCCGGCAGGCGCAGGCACCCCTGCTGCATGTGGGGAGATAACTCCAAGCAGACTGACAGTCACTCCTGTCACCCACACAGCACTGGGAGAAGGGCGGGGTCGGGAAGGAGCTCGGTTGGAATACCTCCTTCCCTCTGCAACTCCTCCTGTAGATGGTGTGACCCCATGCCCACCCAGGCCAGGGACGGGGCAGAAGGACAGACACATAGGCCTAAGGCATGCTCACCTCATGCTGTCTGAGACCTGTGGGGTGGTGAGCACGGCCAGCCTCCGGGAGGTCCTGTGCTGTTTCAGAGATGAGCCCAGAACCAGGGCACCCTTGGCGTAGGCATCGTTTGTGGTCAGTGTCACAAAGGCCTGATCTTAATACAAAGAAAAAGATAAACCACACTCATTACAGTTATCTTACCTTCCCCCGGGGATTTGTTCAAACAATAATTCGGCAAAGGACTCTGAGATCACTTGCTCCACTGATAAAGCAACTCTCCCCTTTTGGTGTGTGTGAGGAAACCCCAGGAGCCATTGCCAAGAAGGGCTGAAGACCCTGGTCTTCCAGGAAGGTCCAGCAACCTCCAAGGGGCTCACAGAGCCAAGGACACTGTCAGCCTCTCACACTAAACCACAACACCCAGAGACACACTTCAGCGACCACTGGTGGTGGAACAAGAGAACATAGAACATAGACAGTCATGTCAGGCAAGCACAGTCCCAACTGGCCACCTGGGCTGGGAGTCAGAGGAACAGCCACACGCTTCAGAGGCCACAGCACAGGCTTTCTTCCACTTCTTCTAAAGATTCCTTTAATTATCTGATAGGGTGGCACGGATTGGGGGAAAACAGACCTTCCATCCACAACCTCCCCAGATGGCCACAACAGCCAGGGCTGGACCACGGGCAAGCCAGGATCCTGGCTCTCCATCCTGGTCTCCCTCACTCACGGGGCCCAAGCACTCAGATCATCACCTGCCAGGCACCTCAGCAGGGACTCAGACTAGCACTCAGATATGGGATGTTGTCCAAGGCAGGCAGCTTAACGTGCTGGGCCTCCATACCCACCCCATGGCTTCTCACATGGCTTTCTTCTTCAACTTGGAGCAAAAATGCCCCCGCCCATGACCTCCAAGGGGTCCAAGGTTTGTGTCCCATTAGACAGCTGGAAGCAGCTATGTAAATTTATGACCAATCACTGTCATGTGGATTTCCATGCCATGTCACATGTACTAACACATCTTAAGAGAGGGAGTACCTGCTCCCATCTGCAATAGACACTCTGTTGCCAGAACCCTGGATTATGCCGCCCACCCAACAACCCCACCACCATCCAGTCTGATGCTTCTCTGGTCTTGCCCTGAGGTCCACACCGGACACTCTCCAACTCTGAGATCTTTAACAACCTGCTGGTGGCCATCCAGATGTGCAGGATCACTTGGGACCAGGCTCTGCCAGGGATCACTGTTGCCCAACCTGGGAGCTGGGACACGCTGCCACAATGTCTTCCTGTCTCCCTTACCCATTTATCAACGCAGACGCTGCAGGCAGGGCCAATTTCAGCGGGAAGTGAGAGGATGTAGTGTGCTACTGGAGCTGGGTCAGTGTATCCCACACACGTGGGACCCGACAGTCATCTTCACACACTTGGGGTGCAGCACAGAGCTCCTCCCACTCCCTGCAGCGCCCAAGGCAACACATTCAGGGAGCCTCAGAGGTACACACTCCCACCCACCCATCCTAAGGCAGTGACTTGGTCAGCATGCACCCAAAATACTTAATCTGGACGTAATGCATTTTCTGCTGTTAACTTAAGGGTGGTCCAGCACCCCGGAGATCCTGGAGAAAAAAAGTCTTGAGGAAGCGAGGATATGGATAAATTCCAGGATTCAATAAGGGGGCGGGACAAACGCTCAAACGTTGAGGAACCTAGGCAACAACACCCAACCCCCTTCCCCACCCTCCCCCAAACACTGCGGAGAAACGAAAAGCCAGACCCCGCAACAGCTAGGTAGGGAGTTCAAGGTCCTCAAAGGCAGCTGAACTCGGTTACACCTGCCATCTTCTGGGAGCCCAACTGTTGTAACAGGCCGGCAATTAGCCGCCACCACACGGAAGGGCCAGTTTCTTCGGAGTTCCCCGATCCTCAGGGGGGGTGGTGGCAGATTCGCCAGCGAGCCGGCCGCTCTGCAACAAGTGGGGCTCAGGCCGGCGCCCTCCCACCCGCGGAGCCCGCCCCCGGGGACGCTCGCCCGGCTGCCGGCTCCCCGCAGCCCGGCCCCAAAGGCCTAAAAATAGGCTCGGCGTGGCGGCCAGGGCCGGGGCGGGCGGCCGAACAGGCCAGCCGAGAGGCCGCTGGGGGGCTCCCCGGCGTCGGCGCCCCCTTTCCCCAGGGCGAGGGAGCGCGCGTACCCCGCGTCCGTTCTGCGCCCCTGGGCTCCAGCCTGGCGCGCCCCCGGGGGAGCCCGGCTCCCCACCCCCCACTCAGCCCCGCCGCAGCCGCTCGGCCGGCCGCCCTTCACGGCGAGAGCAGGAGGAAGGGCGAGCAGGAGACGGAAGCAGGAGCAGGGCTCCGGCGGAGGGCCGCGGCTCCGGTGCGCCACCCTCGGTCCCGCGCGCGCAGGGGCGCAGGGGCGCAGGGGCGCTGCGGCTAGCGGCAACTTTGCAGCGCTCGGGAACTCGCCCGGGGCGGCGGCGGCGGTGGCGCCGAGCCCGCAGCGAGAGGGCAGGGCGGCGCGGCGCGTACCTGTCATGGTGCTGCCGGGGCGCCGGCGGCCGCTGCAGCCGCAGGTTGGTGTCTCGGAGAAGCCGGGTGCCGGGAGGGGAGCGCGGCCCGGGAGGAGGCGCGGCGGGAGCCCAGCGTCCGCCCCGAGCGCTCTTATAGCGGCCGTCACGTGGCTGCGCACGCTCCCGGCTGCTGCGGGCATCCTCCGGGCTGCGCGGCCCGTGGGGGCGGAGGCCCGCGGCTGTGCGGGGCCGCTGCCCTGGCGCCTCGCGCCTCGGCTCGCACGTCCCTCCCTCAGGGCCAGGCTGAGGGTCCAGTGTACCCCTGCTTCTGGTGCTGCTAGCTCAAGGCACCTGCCTGGAACTGAGGGTCTCCCAGTTCCCACTGAGCCGGAGACCTGAGGGAGACCAGGGGCGGAGTACAGCCTGGGACTCCCAAATGAGCTTAAGGGTTAGGGAACCCTGAGGAACAGGCGAGCAGTGATGTCAGTTCTCACAATTTGTCCCAACGTGAGTTCTGATTCCGTTGCTTTTTTACCTCGAATTGCAAATCATTCCTAAAAAACACAGTTTTGTGGCCACGATGGAAAGATAGGAAGAATATTTGGTGGGCGTTATGGGGGAGGGGGTAGATTTCGGAACTGTGCCTGAAGATACGAAGTGCTTCGTTTATCCTTGTAACAACTGGGTAAGTATTCTGTATTCCTTTACAGAGGAAAGCACGGAGGCACCGAAAAGTTACATTGCTTTTCTACGGCTAAATGTGAGTGGACAAAGTGGGACTTGACTCTTGGCCGTTGGGCTACAGCCTTCCCATGCGCCAGAGAGGTGGTAAGTCATGGCAGCTGTGGTTAGGTAATGCAGTCCTTTTGGTTAAACTGTTTCACAAACCTTGAAATGGCCCGTTTGTCATGCATCTAGGAAGTTGAGAAACCGTTCTCCTAAGGTGATCACACCCTGCCCTGTTCCGCGGCCCAAACACAGCAGAAACACTGCGCAGTGTAGTCCTCTGCGGGCAGCAGACACGCAGTAAATGGGGGAGCATCCTGGCGGGTCCCAGAAACCACCAGGAAGTTGACAACACCAATTCAGAAAAACCAGACAGACGTTCAAGAACAGGTGCTCTGGCTTTCGATCGTTTTTACTTGCAATGGTCTGTCTGACAATGTATTTAGACCTTACGATGGTGTGAAAGCAGTGTCCATTTCGTGGAGATCATGCTTTGTTGAACTTTGGTCTTTTTGCTGTGCTGTTGGAACGTGGTACGGTAACTGCTTTAGGATGAAGGGCAGCAGTGTCCCATACAGCTCCGGGTCGGGCATGCAATCGTGAGGGTGTACAACAAATACTTGACCGTGTGAGCTAGATATTAGTAGGCAGGGCGTATGTTAAATGCTCATTTGACTTACAACATTTTCAATTTATGATGGATTTCTCAAGACATGAGATTCCACAGTAGGTGGATGTATGTCACCATTTCCTCCTGTGGGGGCCTGGGATTCCTACATGACAGTCATTTGGGGGGACGTCGATTAAAATGTTGATTTCCAGGCCTAAGCCCATGCCTCCTGAGTTAGAACCAATAATTGGCATTGTAGGAAGCCTCTCTGGAATCCTTCCTTGAGCCAGCACGGTCTGCAGACCACTGACCTCCCAGTTCCTAATAGGTAGACCTGGAAAAGTGAGGTTTCTATCCTTCACCCACAAACCTTCCTGCCGATTTTATCTTGGCAGTGTGGCAGGCTGGATTCCACCCAGCAACAAAAGAGCAAAATGAGGAGGAAGAACCAGGGAAAACTGGAAATTAAAAGAAAAAAAAATCCTGCCTTTCAGAACATTTCTCTACCACCCCTAATGCTTAAAGGGCTTGCTGCCGCCGCGTTCTGTCGGGATGCGTAGAGAATTTAATAGGAGCAGGTTTGTGCTGCAATAGTTAGCACATTGCTTGTGATACATACAGCGCATGGCAGAATGCCTGGGTTGAGCTCCTGCTTCCGCTTGCGGTTCCAGCTTCTGGCGGATGCACCTCTGTGTGGGCAGCAGGTGATGCTCCAAGTACTGGGATTCCCTACATGCCCTTACAGAGTTCCCAGACTGAGCCCCTGACTCCCAGGCTAGCCCTGGCTGTTTGTTGCACACATTTAGGGGGAGCGAACCAATGAATGGAAAATGTATTTCTCTCTATACTTCAAAAAATTACATTTAAAAGTTTTACAAAAAGGTTGACAGCTTTTATCCCTCTGAAGCAAATAGGAACATGTTGAGGCTACCAGCTACTCTTTAATGTTCTTTACCGAGGTTGCTCAAAGCACCCACTGGCTGATTCTCCTAGGACTGCTCTGCATGGAGCTTCAGTTAGACGTGAGAACGACGTCTCTTTAAGTTTAATGTGCACAAGGTTGCCAGAGGATATTATTAAAATGCATATTTTAACTCAGTTGTTTGGGGTTGGGTCTCCCAGGTAAGAACCAGACTGAATGGTGAGTTGTTCAAGCTTTTTTGACTAGAAGACATTTAAAGCAACAGACTTTGCTTGCTAAGTATTTTCTTGTGAAACTTGAGCTTGAAGAATTATTTAATTCTAAAAGGAAAAAAGTTGAAGATAGATAGAAAAATTGTGTCCCACTTAAGCAGTGTGTGCCATAGTATGCGTGATGATCGACTTTTATTTATTTATTTTTTTTTTGATGGTCGACTTTTAAAAGGTGTGTTGCATGCGTATAACTCGGCTTGGTTGCTGCAAAATTCATTTTGAATTGCCTTTGGAATGCGTTATGTAATCTTTTGGCTGGATGCTTACCTTCCTAATTATGTTTTTGTTTAAGATAATGTTGAGGTCAGTTTACCTCCCCTTGAGCACACACACTAATTGATGGTGGGGCAACTGAGCTGGAAGTGTATTCCAGAGCAGAGGGCACCCTGCTGACCTCAGATCCCAGTAGTTCCCACCGAGCGGCCTACAAATAGATGTACTACCTCTGGCTGGACACGGCACAGGACTGCTTCACCAAGTGCTCACGATTTTTGTCCTTACTGAATGGCGTGTAGAATCTATATTTGGAATCACCGATAGTGGTCACAACTGGGCTTAGTTCCAATCAAAACTGAATTTCCAGAAGTAATGTCCTGGAAGACCCAGAGTGTCCTTTTGTCGCTCAAGAACTGGAACCCATATTTCACAAATTACAACAGTCTGGTGGCTAGTTATATTGCCTTAAACAAACTTTGTTGAAATGATCCACGTAATGTAAAATTCGGCCATTTACGTTGCATTAAAGTATGCAGCCAGATGGTTTTTAGCATATTCACAAAGTTGTACAACGCTTATGGCCAGTCTCATTTGATAGCATTTTCACCATCCCCTAAAGGAACTTACAGGCCTCAGTAGTCAGTTCTCAGTCCCAGGCAACTGTTGCTTTCATGTGTTTGTCTCCATGTCTTTGCTGAGATTTGCCTAAATACGATCTTTCACGACTGGCTTCTTTTACTTAGCACGGTGTTTTCAAGGTTATGCTGTGTTCTGCATGTGTTGGTACTGCATTGTCAGATAATCCTTCGCTATGGACATATCCCGTTTTATTTATCCATTCATCACAGATAAGCATGTGGGTGGACATTTGGGTAGTTGCTGATTTTTGGCTGTGGTAAGTGATGCTGCTATGAACACTTTGTCCATGTGCCTATGTGCACATATGCTTTTATTTCTCCTAGACATAAACTAAGAGTAGAATTGCTGTATTGTATGATGACTCTGCAACATTTCAGTAAGTGCCAGGCTGCCGTCCATGTGTCTGCATCATCTTTCACTCCCACTAGCAATGTATGAGAGTTCCAATTTCTTCCCATTTCTTAGCCAGTCTTTTTTATGATGTGTTAGACTGTGACAATCCTAAGAAGTTTGAAGAGATACTGTAAATTTTGACTTGCATTTCCTCAATAATATTATCTTTGAACATATTTTCATAAATATGTATCTTCTTTGGAGAGAGGTCTATTCCAACCCTGCTCATTTTCTAAAAATTGAGTTGCCTTTTTCATTACGGAGTTGGAAGAGTACTTTATATAATCTAGATGTCAGTGCTTTACCAGATATATGATTTCTGAAATATTTTCCCATTCTGGGTGTTGACGTTTAACCTTCATGTTCATATAGCTTGTAGCACGCACATTTTAAACTTTTATATAGTCCAGTTCATCTGTAAGAGTATCTCAAAAGCTTATCAAAAACTAGAATTAAAAATAAGTTTATTTTGATACAAAGGATCTTGAAATCTCAACATTGTTTTTTCCTTATTTTTTATTATAGTTTTGTCATAATATACATCTCCTATTATATAACTCTATTTTTCAAAATAACTCTATTTTTCATTTGCTATTTCTGTATTTGAGGCTATATCTAAGAAACCGTTGCCTAGCTGAAAGTCATACTTTTACTCTTTTATTTTCTTACGAGAGAGATAATCCTCCAGTTTATCACTGATTTTGAGTTAAGTTTTGTGAAATTTTTGTATGGTATGAAAGTGGCCAACTTGCTTCTTTTGCCTATGAGTGTCGATTGAGTTGTCCCAGCACCGTTTGTGAAAATGACTGCTCCTTCCCCACTGCAACACTTTGGCGTCCTTGTAAAAACCTCAGTGTCCCATAAATGTGACTCAATTTTTAATAGCTGGTTCTACCCTGATTTCTGTACTCCAAGTTGAGTATCTCTGACCTGCAATACTTGAGACCAATGATTTTGGATTTTTTTTCCCCCCAGTTCATGAGATATCTTGGGAATGAAATCCAAATGCAAACCTCAAATTCATTTCTTTCATATGCAGCTTGAATAGATAGCCTGGAGGGTCTATATACTGGTTTTGTCAACTTTGTACATCAAGATACATTGAAGCATTTGAAAGTAAAGGCAGGGCCCTCTCAGTCATGTGGACCGTCCGTGGTTGTCTGGTGTCAGTGCCCTCCCTGACACTGACGTTATATGCCAATCATTGTCTTATACTTCTTCATACATAAGTACTTCATGGGAAAACTATGTCATATCACTCATATGATGAAAAAAATCATGTGTCAGCATAACTCAGCAGCTGAATGGCGTCACTGAGTCCCAGAGTCAGCTGTAGAACAGG